GGATATTGTGATCAACATCCATTTTTGAATATAACAGATTCTGGGCAGCCAACATACTGCATACCGGAAGCTTGCCCCCCCCCCCCCCCCCCTTTTCCAACCTTTGAACAGTTCATAGTAATAATACTCATCTCCTGTTGAACAATTCAATTGGTTATAATTGATATCACACGGCACGTCGCAGCATAGACAACTTCTTCCAGGTCTAATGTGCCATGGCATGGGGCCCGAGCCGAGGCACACAGTAAAGATTTGGCGGCTGGCTTGGCATATAGAATTAGGCTGTAAAAGGGCCAATGGGTGCCCGGACGCCTGAAATCTGGGGGTTAGCCATCCAGCCGCGGTCAATCCTCAGCCTATTTTATCAAGATGGATGGCTGATGACTTCTGATAGATGACCAGCGGGAACCTGTCCCACTGACAGGTTTTGCTGGTATAAGGTAGCCTCGGGGTTGCAGCTGAAGCTGGCTTAAATAGTAAAAAGTTGTCCGTATAGTATTTTAATCCGTAACTACTTGATTTCGTTTCAGGGTGGTCAGAAACGGCCAGGCCAGTCTGCTCTGGAAACCAGAATTAGAAAACGGCTATCTGGGACAATGGTATCCGTCGGAGGCGATTCACCGCAAAAGACAACTCGACGACGGGAGTAATAGCGTTGAGGTCCTGAAAATATGACAATGCTGAAGCAGTGAGAAACCTGTTCTATCCACGTGATAAGTTGCATAGTTATATCTCAAATGGTTGTATCCTTTTTGTGTTTATCTTGGAAACAATATCATTAACCAAGTATTAGTTCTTACCAGGTTCATGATGCACCGCAAGGGCCTCCTTTTCGCTCCAGATGACACATCCACCCAGAAAATCCTTGCACGGGATACTGAATCACCACATTCCGGACCTCCGGAGCATTGGCCGCCAAATACCAGGCTTCGACGCTTCTGTACAGTAAAAGCATCGATATCAGATCGTTGTTGAGGGAAGTATTTGAACTTTACTCAGAATCCGAAGCTTAAGGAGCAGCTTTTGGCTACTGGAAGCAGGGGACTTGTAGAAACTAGTCCAAGAGATCAGATATGGAGTGTTGGATTTGGAGCGAAGAATGCTGGGAATGGGGGAAGGATTGGGCGTTAAATTTGCTGGAAAAGGCGTTGATGGTGAGCGGGAGAGTTCAGAGGAAGGAGAGGAGAAACCAATGAAAGGATTATATTCATGTGTGGTGTATCTGAGAAAATGTTGCCGCTATTTACTGTTAACTGTTGACAGGTGGGGTTTTTGGGATTTGATTTCGCCATGCTTGGTGATGCCTCGAGGAACCCGATTTTGTAGGAACTTACAACAAAGGCGGGATTGAATATATAGTTACATTTAGGTCCTTTCTGAGCATTCGAAATGCTCTTATTTTATCCAACTAACTATACGATATTCCTCTCGACGAATCAGACTTTAGAAATTCCAACCTCACCCGCGATCTCTACTTCATCATATCTAAACCCTCCCTCAGCAATCTAACAAATTCAACCAATCCAATCCGAAAGTGGTACAACATCGGATCAACGGGAGTTCAAATCAAGCTCTTGCACAAAAGCTAATTCCGGTTAAGCTTTCAAGCTTCGCCTTCGCGTCAACTCATGTCATCACTACCTCAACCTCCCTCAAGAAGGGATGAAGATATGCCGAAATGCTTCGTCATGTCGGCAGTCCTTACCTGCTGGATATTCAGTAAAGTATTTGACAGGTTCACTGGCACAACGGCAACTTTTGAAAAATAAGATTGGCGCACCTGCTGCCATGCGATATACTGTTCAATCCCCCCTTACGAACCAGACATCAAAATAAGAAGCACCGTAGAAATAGAGAACCCTTCACGATGTCTATTCCCTGGATTCCTTTCCCGATCTGCCTTCAATGCGGAACGACGCAAAATCCATGTCGTTGCAAAGTGGTTGGCCCTACTTTAGGTAGTTATGCCTGGCGCGAAAAAAAATCGCCATGAAAGACAAAAATAAGTTCAAATGGCTAACTCGGCCCTCTTCTATCATCAACGCTGCATAGGATTCCTAACAAGTGTTGCTGCTGCTGTGCGCAATATCC